GGTTAATTAAATGGATCTTATATCATTAATAACGCAAAAATTATAAATGTCTCAATAATTTTGTTCGTATAAAATGCACTTGAAATAAGCTGCCATTAAAGAATGCATGGGATGAGAGAGAAACCAGAGCTGCAGTAGCAGATCTACAGGAGAATTTAATACCCCCGAGAGTATATCGACGTTATCTCAAATTATCGTTAACGAACGTCAGAGCATTCGGCCCGAAGGCGTAAAGGTGATGGCAGCAGCGTGAACCATGTCGCTGCATCTCCGCTGCACATTGTGTGCAATATGCTTTATGGGCATCCGGTTCCCGGTGCGGCAGCGTAGTATCGGGCATCCGGTAACCGGTGGCGAGACGACGTTAAGGGTTCCCATTGAAGCGTGCCCCGGCTTGATTAATGTTAAAACGGTATACGCAGGCAGCCTTAAGTCGGACGCCGCCGCCGCCGCCGCTTTTTACATTGCTTTTAGCAATCCCTTTTAGTTCCTTAATAAAAAAAGTCTATTTTTTTTTTTTTATACACGTTGCAGCATGTGACCGATACGAGTGCAGAAAATGTATCCATAAGAGATAATGACATTTTACATCGCTGCTTTTAGGGTAAACACGTTTTTTCTAGGTTAGCTTCCGCAGAAAAAAGCGTGCGCCGCGCGTCTGGCAGCGGCGTGAAAGCGTTGTATGCAAAGGGGCTTACGGTATAAAGTTATAAAGTAGGCTATCGCCTCTATCTTTTGCCATTATCGTGGCAACCGGAATATTTCCTTAAAAAGGCATTTCGTTCGTATAATCTTGAGATTATATATATTAAGGGTGTATCGACAAATATTGTACACTAATCGTTTCCGCATAATATTCCCGCGACGAGAGAAATTTTACGCGCGTGTAGGAGCTCGAGAAATCCCAGCTTTTCATTATTATACCGCAAAGAAACACCGATAATGTGCTAACAGATTTTTTTCCCATGCAAATGCAAATTAGAAAGATTAAAATGGGTATTGCCTTTACGGAAATTCGCATTGGCGGTAGGACCGTGTCCAATTTTCTGTAACGGCGTCAAGTAATCGAGTTTCAGATAACTGAAATTACTTTTTAAACGAGAAACATTGCCTTGCATGTTTCTACTGATAACGATGAGAAACGTCAGAGAAAAAGATCGTAAAATTTTATGTCCGAGCCTTACGTTTCACCTCCGATAGTTGTGACAACCGTTAAAATCGCAAACGCCATGAAAATGGCATTAGCTCGATAGTATAAGTAGAGCGCGTGAGGTTGCTCGTTCGTGCATAAACGGGAAGAGGAGTATCCCCGCGAGATTTACTGCATATTTTTATCTCTTATGACAATATCAACGTGACGTAATGTTCTACGATCGACGCAGGTTTATATAGATTGGCGAAATTGAAGACCGGACATATATTACATTACGGTGTCCAACTCTGCGGAAAGAATGATTTTGATGAAATATCTAAAAATTTGGCCGGATCTGAAAATAATTTTGTTAGACCATCAAAATAATTATGAAAGTCGTCTTAGCGTGATAATAATACTGTCAAAATTTCTTTATTTTAGTAATCGATTTGAATTTATACGCATAATTTTAATGACATCAGCAAAATTATTCTTATTGTATATTTATATATTTATATATATAAAATATACAAGCGGGATGCAAAGAAACATAATCCAAGCTTCCTCGATAACTGGAATATCGAATTTATTTTATGGAAATTTTCTGTCGATACGATATTCTATTTGACACTTTGTTTATCGATGCATTCGCACACTTATTCTCAGCGACGATCGGAAGTCGTAGCAATTGCTGAGTCAGAAACGGACGGATTGTTTCTTCGATCGAATGTACGTCGATCAGACCGTCGTCGTATAGGTTGTCGTATGCAGGAGAAGGAATTGGAATTGGAGTTTGTGCGCTCACTGGAATGTGCAAGTGTGCGACGCGGTGGAGACAAGGAAGTAGACGGAAATGTCAGTGTCAGCAAATGTCTGATAGGTTCCGAAAGGGTTATAGTCGCGGATTATCCATGTTCTGATCCATGATTATCCATGAAGGAGATACGATTTCACGTGATGATTCTGGCGACATTCGGTTTATTATACTAATTCCGAACTTACTTTCATTCGCATTGAAGACATTACATCCGATGGAGAGTAATGATGTCAGGATTTCAAATCATAACTATCTTTGCATCGCATAAATTACCATCTTTAAGATTATTGATCGCTGCTGCAATTTTATTACTTTTTCTTTGAGTATCGATATTTAATTAATAAAGTAAAATATTTGGGCAAAATCTTCTCAGCATAGGGGATAATTCTTTTCTGGATATTTCATATCTTCTCTCATTTGCGATTTTTTTTTTTGTGAACAATATTCATTATGATAGATTAATTGCAAAACATCTTTTATTTCTGTCTAATCGCAATTTGCAATTAATATAACACGCGTTCTTGCATACTTCCGTCTGTTCGTTCTCTTTTTGTAATTTTTAAAAATTTCTTTAAAAGAAAAAGAAGCCAAATGAAAAAGCAATTTAAACTTATATAATTTTGCATCAAGTGTTTCAAAATAGATTGCATTGTCTTTTATCTCTTAGTTGAAATTTTTTTTAAAATTATAACTTTTTAAATTTGTAACTTTTTGTGATATTCTGTTGCGATTATTAAAAATCAACTTTATTTGATACTATAAACTCGAAAAATAAATACAAAGAAAAATAATTTACATTTTAAAAAGTTAAATTATCAAAATTTTTCAGTTTGGTATTTTCCGAGAATCTCAGATAGTACTATTATTTAATTAGCATATAAAATTTTACTGAAAAAAAGTTATTTGAACAAATGCATGGCAGAAAGATAACCTAATATTTTTGGGATATTATGAAACATATTACATTTGTTAACGAGATGTTTACATTCATGTTGTTTGTCTCGCCACTATGACTACAATACATTGCGATATGTAAAAAGCGCTCGCGAACAAACCTCTATTTGCGTTCTCGCTACGTTCTCGATTTACAGACTGTTCTCTGCGCGAATTTTTGCATTTAAAATTATGAAGTTATTTCTGCATTTTTTGCATGCGAAAATCAATTTCAATTATCTCGTACAATGACGTGGAGAAGAAAAGGACCTGTGAATCGGAGGAGAAGAGGGATGGGACTTGGTAGCACCGACAAGAGGGTGGTCGGGTAAAGAAATCGGAAATGCTCGAGAGGGAAAAAAACGGGATTCGGGGAGATTTAATACGAGATAAGATTGAGAGGTACGAGCAGGTTGTAGCGGTAAACACAGTTTTCTAAAAGGGGGCGGAATTTGTATTTTGTCACCCCTGAGCGCGTATGCATACTTAAAGGCCGCGGTATGCAACAACCGTGCCCGAGGGGCGTGTAAATTTTAACGGTTCGTCGGGAAGATGATGTGTCGCGTCCGCGTATCGTCCACCATGCTTCCAAGGCTGCGAAATTGTTCCTCCAGGTAATTATTCCGCGTTGAAATCGTTTTCGCGTGCGGCCGCGCTCTGTTTTTCGTCGCGAGACGCGAAACGAGAATCGCGCGAAAATGCATCTCGTGAAAATATACGCGCGCCTCTCGCTCGTTTGACTTGGGGCAGTTTGTATGCACGACAAACGTATACTTTGCATAAATAATATCCTCGGGATAACAACGCGGGGAACCACTGCGCGATACGGTGACTCGTCTCATAATAATATACCGTATGACGTATACATAGTGCTAAGAATGCTCGTTTGAGGAAAATCCATATGCCCGTCGAAAATTACGCGAGACCTGCAAGTAATTCCAAGTAACACGTTTTGCAACGTAAGAATCCGAACCCAATTTTTTGCGTGCAAAAATATGCTTAAATATTAAAAAGAGAGTAAATAAGTATTGCGGGCAATAATAAAAGAACGATCTTTAGAATATCCCGACTTTTCATCGTGTCTAAGTTTCTCGCCGAAGATAAAACTAAGCTAAGAGGTGTATTATGCAAGGGAGGAAAAAAATGCAAAGGAGTTAACGCGGCTGTCTCGTTCGCGTCTCGTCGTCTCTCGCTCGATTTAATCTGACGGCTCGAGTTACGACGATCATAAAGTTCAAAGCCGAGCAACTGTGCCGCCGACGAAAAGGCCGCGACGTTTGTTGGACAGATCGTTCGATCGTACGTTCGCCGATATCGAGTGACGCGCTCGTTGCACTTTTGCGGTCGCGAGAAAAAGGGACGTGTGCGAGACTCGGTGGGAGGACGATGATCGCTCGTTTCGATTAAGGGGCATGGGGGGATCTTCGCGGCAGAGGAGACGGTTTCATTCCCTCTCCCCCCCCCCCGAGCTTTTCATCGGAACGGACCCCCTCAGGCTCGGTTCTCGGCCTCCTTCTCGGGAGGCAACACAATGAGCTTTTGTTTCCATTGAAAACGACACCGCCGTGTCTCGCTCAAGATATTAATCGGGGCGAAACTCCGGCGCGGATCAAGGGGCATTATAGCTGGCCGCGTGTGCGCGAGCGTACGTGAGACCGCGGCCCGATTGAATCGTAAATTACCCCGCGGCGAATTATTCATGGCGCGCGCCCGCGCGCGCTCTCGTTTCGATAGGCCGCGTAATAATCCAGCCGTGCGTTTTGTAACGCGTCAATTTTTAATGCCGTCTCGGCTCCTCGCGTAAGATTTGTCACCGTTGCGCTTGCTCCCGCGCAAATACATACACTCTCATGGTACGATCATCAATCATGAACAACTCCCGATAGAATTATTCACTGGCCGGCACATGTAGCCACGGCAAAGCCACGGGTGTAAAAAATGGATTGGTTTTAACGTAGTGGTTAATCTCTCTCTTTTTATTCGCGTCTCTCTCTCTCTCTCTCTCTCTCTCTCCGAGAGGAAAAATATATGAGACCGCTCGCTCGATTTGCTCGCTTATTAATATGTGCGAGATAATGAATTTTCTCAATTAATTTTGTTGTATTGTTTTATTCGCAGGAGGGATCTCGCGGTGATCGGAAAGAGGGGGGCAAGAGGGGACGCAAGCCTGGAAGGAAGGCGGCGGACAAGGCGGACATGAAAGCTAAGCTCGGTAAGTGGCTACGTGAAAGATACTTGCTGACACTTGCTTTAACATTTTACGTCACCGTTCTTGCTTGCAACGGCATGATTTTATCGACGATAAATTGGTTTACCCCGTCGCGGTCTGAACTAAAGTTATTTTATTATAATAATATTTCGTACTTCTATAAGTAAATTGTGCTGCGCTTATAAGTAAATCAATGCTGCGTTAGCAATCAATTATTTCTGGGTTAGTGAAGTAATTTGGAATCAATAATTATCATCATAATTAAGATCCACTAAATAATGCAATAAATATGAATTGTATCGACCTCCGTCATCATTAATCATTAATCGATATCTAATAATCATAAAATGAAATGAAGTTAGAACTACCTGGTAATGTTACATATGTTATTACATTGTAATTTATTCAATCAAAATTATAATAAAAATATATAATTATTTAATTATGATAAATGACTGATAATTTAACGATCGATTATTATTTTTATACTTTATTAATTGATAATAAATATCGGATATTGATCATTAATATATTGTAAATTATAGGTCATTGATTACTTAAAATACAACCGCAATCAATTATTGATTTGATTATATTTTATCACATCTGTGTTGTCTGATATTTTAATTGGCTGCACGTAGACAATATAATAAATTATATGATGAGCTCGTATCGATTTTATGTTGATTGATTACAACTGGAAATTGCTATTTCATAAAAACCTTTTTTCTATAGATTTTTGATAATATCGTTTGGCTATCAGGAGAAAAGAGAAACATTTTGCAAAATGTGAAATGCGAAAATACGCGTTAAAAGGGAAGGACTTTATCTATCCGACGTCCTCAACTCGTCAACGTCTCTTTAATCCAAGATATGAAAATTCGCATAAAACAGAAAGATAGTGCGCTCTACGAGACAATGGAACGGACGTGGCTAACAGATATCGGCCACTTGTTTCTCTCGTTACTCTCCGACTTTATGCTACTCGTCGGTGATTCTTGATTAAAATGTTTGATAACTGCGACGACGGCATGTCTTTCTCGCGAAGAGGACGCGTATCCCGTGTTGATTGCACAGCTCCCATTTCGCTTTTCACGTTTGTCGGCTCGCGCCGCAAGGATTCCCGCTGAAAGGGCGCGAATCGCCCATAGGAACGTTTATCTCTTTCGCGAATGAATATTTATATCCGGGCCGTATTCTGCGGCCCCGTTTCCTCGATACCCCTGGCAAACGGGGATTACCAGCCACGGCCACGCTCTTACCATACGGTTATCGTTCGGCTATTTTGCAATTCCGCCGTTTCGCCGCCGCCGCGAAGCTCTTCGGGGTAACAAAAGCGAGAGGAGAAAGGAGAAGTTGGAGGATGGAAGGAGAGGTTGGGTAAAACTAACCGTGCTGATGCCGCACCGTGACTGCCGCGCGGACCAACATCGAGTAATTTCGCGGGGTTATTTCTGGAACGCGCATGGCCCTCTCATTCGGGAACAGGGAAACTTTATAATCACCTAGCGCGCGCTATTTCGTTCTCTCCTTTCTTCCATCTTCTCCTTCCCTCTCCCTCCCCGGGTTCCTTCCGACCACGATGTGGCCCCTTTTCCAGACCACACGCCGTTTAATCTATGGAGTAGCTTATCCGATGGTTTCTCACTTGTGGCTAATTCGCAGTCAATGTTGCAGTCAACTTCGGGATTGAGTTGACTATTTATTTTGATATATTTTTTATTCATTTTTTTCATGAAATTATGCATCTTTATATCTACAAACTCATATCTCTGCTTTTTTACATTAAATATTTTTTTATTTCAATTAAGTCGTTTCAATTGTTAACTTTTTCATTTTTTTTTCAGTTATATTTTAACATTTTTTTTATCTCATCAGGAACAAAGATTTTTCCAAAATGAATAAAACCGATGTAAAAATCACTCGATAATACAACAAAATGATTCGCAAGTTTTTGAGAATATAAAAAATATTACGTAAATGTTATGAGTACATTCTGAGAATATATAGTTATGGTATACGTAAATGTTATGAATGTTTTCAATATATGCGGCATGATCATAATACATTCAGTATGAATGTAGAATATGTAAAAAATTGAAACATTTACCACACTGTAGAACTTTTTTTATATATTTATAAATTTATAAATTTATATAAATATATAAATTTAAACAATATATTAATTTTATTTCTTAATATTATTTTGAGAAAGAATGGAGCATATATATTTGATATGATATTTTTACTTTTTATGAAATAATTTTGTTCTGATTAAATTATTCTTGAAATTTATAGAAACGTATCAGAATTTTAATTCTATTGCTTTTAATTGTTTAAAACTGTAAAGCTTTCAGTTTAAATTAATTTCGGAATTATTAACACCTTATTAATTTTTATAGAGCAAATAATTCTAAAATTCTACGTGAAATCTATTTTCATTCGTCTATTCGTCTTTTTACTACAAGAAATGATTAAATCTTTAACTATTTTTTCTAGACAAAGTCATTTATGTTACATTTTTCAACGATCGATTACAATTTATTAAAGAATATTAAAACCTTCTATTTTCCTTAACCTGTCTCTGTCTGTATTTGCCGTTAAGAGGATGTTCCCTCGCTTTCCGCGACGACCTGCACGGAAATTGCGCGCGAGTCTTTCCGGCATCATTCTTGGTTGTGCGAACGAACGAACGAACTCTCCATTTTACTCCGTACGGCTGACGGAATCGACTTTATTTAAATCCGCTCGCTCGAGTTTCGCCTCGATTCGGTCCAGATGTCGGCCGTCGCAATGAGATCCTAAATGGAGCCACAAATTGACTGTGCGAGAACGCTTAATTTCCGCGGCGCGCCGGCATCGATTTCCCAGACGCGAGGCCGATCGCGTCACCTCCAATCGACGTCGACGAAACTCTTTCCGATAAAATTTATGGGTTGCGTAAATTCACCGGCGGCCCGGTCATTCTTAAAGGTACGCAACGAGACGAGCGACGTTTATTGCCGGCGTAAAAAGCGGATTCGGCGAGCCGTGAACGATAGTGCGTTCGCGAGCATTTGATAGTAAAAGACGTTTACTCTATGTGCGATGGTTTCTCCGTGAGAGGAAAGAAAAGAATTTGCCATTTGTGAAACTATTTAACAATCTGATAATCTGAAAACTTTGGAATCTAATAGTCCTTTAACTCGTAATCGAGGAATCTTTGAATCTACAAAGTTACGAATCTCAGATTCTCATGCCTGAATGTTAGGTCCGTAATTGTAATCTCGGATCTTGTTTTAAAAAAATGTATTAAGAAAGGAAAAGAGAGAAATTTAAAAGATTCGTATCTTGTGGCAGTTTAATAATCTTATTTTGATTAGAAATTAATTGGGGTTGTGTAATGGATCATTCAAGATGAATCATTCAAATGGATGGATAATTCGACTAAAATATGTATTGAGTAATTTTTGAGAGACATTTCGCAATATTATAATATTAATACATATGTGACATAAAAATAAGATTCTATCATTTTATTTCATTTTAATTAATAAGATTAGATAAAAAAGTATATAAAGTAGAAATATAAAATCAAATTAGATAAATAAACCATAATAGATTAGAATAAAATTAATTATTTCCTACATATAATAATATAATAATATAATAATATATAATAATATAATAATATAATAATATAATAATTATAATTAATAATCATTATCGCGCCTTTCCGTTAAATAATATTACATATGCTACATATCAAATTGTATAAAAAGTATTTTATATATTTTTTTATTATATTCATTTGTAAATTTGTATATTGAAGAATCTGCGGATAAATTGCTTTTTCTTTTGCATCAATATATAATATTTAATCTTGGAAGGGAATAACAGATGCCAAATACACAGACTTCAAATTCTATTAAAAATATATTTGAGAAGGGAGATAAAGTAACACACCTAAGTAACACTTAAATCTAGTTTTTCCTTATTATTCTGCAGATATTATTTTATTTTTTATTTATTAGAATTTAAAAATAAGTATATATTATATCTCTCAATTATATTTTTCGAAAATTTTGCTTTTGTATGAATTGCTTAACAAATATTTATGAACTTATTGTATAAATATTAAACAATTAATATCTCGTAATTAATATTCAATTATGCAAATTTTCTCCAATATTTAGTTTCTACATTGTAGGAAATACCAATAAATAGGTAATATATTCTCTTTTAGCTCTTTGAACTCATGTATTTTCGTACGCGCAATAAATTGAATAATCAAGATATTCCAGGATTAAATATTTAATCCTTATCTTTCCTAGCCCATCCATATAAAGCAATGGAAATATTATAAATGTTTGTTTGAATAATTTTATTATTTTGAATATTAGTTTTGCGGTACGCAAAACTTGTATTAATATGTAGATATTTTTATATATATCTACACATTTCTATTTTATGATACAATTTTCATAGATACATTTTACTTAAAGTAAGAGTAATTATTAATAGCCGCGGAATTGTAATTATATCTATATTGATTTGTAAAATACAAAGTCCAAGTTATAGCAACGTTTAAAATAATTGTTATAAAATAAAAAACGAATAATATTATAAATAAATAAATAATCAGATACATAAGATTACTCCGTTGCCGTCCGATGCTTCCCTCTTCTCTCAGATCTTTTTATTGCATTTGAACATCTCAGTACTTGCGAACACATTAATTACAGATCGTGCATAGTAATCATCACAATACAATGGTCGTGCGACATTTCGCCCAGTACTCTAATATTAATTAATCACGTGCGACGCGCGATTTATTACATTCCGACGAAAGAATAATGCAAAAATATTGCAGGAGCGTTCACGTCGCGTTTCCATTTTGTAAATTAACAAAACGATGCTCAATCTGAATCTTAAACGACAAAGAGAATCAGGAAACGCGCGGTACTTCATCCAGATTACGATATGAAATGTTTAACGAAGACAAATTAAATGGCTAATAGGAATATAAATCGCTTGAAAATATGATAAATTTAGCAAGTCGTGTTCTCCTCATGTTTTCAATCTGGGTAAGCGTTAGTTAAATTGCATTCGTATTATATCGTATCATATATCCCGGCTCGAATGAGCAAATCGCATGGAGTACTTGCTTCGTTAAATAGCCGCTTACGATACGTCTACGAGTCGTTAAACGCAACAGTTAGTCCAATCACGCAATCTGATAATCGCTGGATATTCATAGGGAACGATTGCGTTTGGCATTATGGATGTAGCACTTCTCGCATCTCGCGTCGTCATATGTGCGATTTTGTATAAAATAACAGCATAATTGTTGCTATGAAATAAATCGATAAATGTCTGTCGAATATTCCCCGGGTGAATTTTGATTGGCGATCTTTCATCGCGCATTAAATGTTACGTTCGTTTAAAGAGTAAGATTTGTTTTATTTAATCGAAAGTATTTACATTAATTAACTTATTACACAGTTACTTTCTTTGAAATTTTGGATGAATGTAGATATGACGAAACGTGATAATTAAGTTGATTTTTATTTATTAAATTGTGTCGCGTAGTTGAAGGATTGGTCTCGTGTGAGTTTTTCCGAGTAAAAAAACTGTAAAGTACTAAAATACGAAGTTTCACGGAACACAGGAATCTCAGGAAAGACTTTCAGACTTGTGGAATCGCCGATGTTCGAGAAAATTTTGGAATATAAAGCGCATAGAAATCTGATGACCTGGTAAAATTCCAGAATTGCAGGATTCGAGGATTTGAATATTAGAGATTTCATAACGACGTCGTTATTTAAATCGCGCTGTTTCAGTTTCGCATCTCATCGAGCCTCGATTTCCTTCGGCTTCCGACATGCGACGTATTTATTTCCTACCCTGCGTTTCGAACAAAATCATAGCTTATCGTAACACACTGTCCGTCTTCGTAAAAGTTTCCGCCGTTCGGTCGCATATGCCGCGGCATTACCATACGTCTTGCACGTTCGGCGACATTATTAAATCGTGAATTCTTGTAGAGCCCGTGATATATATATATCTGCCACTTGGCTTGCCGTTACGTCACAACCTGACGCCGAAAACCAGCGAAATTTATGCTCGGCGCGAATTCTCGGTCGAAACTTCAGTCGCACCGGTCTCGGGGATCAGGCCGCGCTTTGCATGCATCGATTCCTTGTATTAATATGGATCTACGTTTTCTCACCCTCGTACTCGTTTGCCATTCTGTCTACAGAACGAAGCCGGCAGAGTGCGAGGGAGTGCCGTGCTCGCAAGAAGCTGAGGTATCAGTACCTGGAGGAGCTCGTGGCCGACCGTGAAAAGGCGGTGCTTGCTTTGCGAAAGGAGCTCGAGATGGTGAGTCATATTTTTAACCCTTTTCATAAAGAAACGAACGAGAATTGGAGAGTCTCTAGGGAAAAAATCTAGGATTTTCTCCTTCAGATAGTTCAGATAGACAATTTAGTACGTTTGTTTGTCGCAACGAATAAGTTGCATGCCGAATGATAAAACAAACGCAAATGAAAATTGCGATTTATACTGATAAATTTGTTAAACAGAGCATTCCATAATTAGTAGAAAGTGAAAACGTAATGTCGGTTCTTGTAAAATTCGAACACAATTTTTCTTTAGATATTTAAAAAAGTTAACATTTTTTATTTTTGATATTTTGATATTTTGATATTTTGATATTTATGATTAAATTCTAATTAAATATTGTCTTTTATAATGCACTTAAAATAAAATGATGAGTGATGTTCCAATATTTATTTTGATGTTTATTTTAATTTGAAATTTATCAATTTCAATAATTCGTAATTTGAAAATTATTCTCTTATTATTTTTATCATCAGCAATTTGCATATTTTACAAGGAACTAAATTGGCACTAAATTTTTGGAGAGTTATTCTATATATATTTATAATTATAAATTATTTAAAAATATATTAGCGTCAACTTTTGATTGCTCTGTTAAATATTAGTCAAATTTAATAACATGATTAAGAAAAACAGAAACAAAACACTAATTTGAAATACAGATAGTAATTTTCTTCCTTTTTTTAGTAAGGAAAAACACTGCACTTTAAAGTTCTCTGAATTAGTTGTATCTCGAACATAAAGCAAAGCAAATTCTTCGGAAGCTGGGGAATCTCGTAACTTTTTCTTTTCCATCGCTTTCCTCATCGTCTTCCTTATCGTCTTCCTTAAATCTTCCTTCGAAGTGCAAACTAAGTTACTCGTAAAAGTGTAAAGTTCTGGCGGAATACAAAGGTTCGCTCTTTAGCAATACTACTAGAAGTATTATTCGCATTTATATTGCTTTGTTTTTGCCCAAAAATACTCATATTTGTTAAAATTATTCGAGCATTCTCTTTCTCTTTGCCATTGAATTTTTTCTTTTTATGGATTTCTGGTGGTAGGAAATATTACATAAATAATTTCAATCGACTCAACAAATTATCTTGCTGATTTCTTCCAAATTTGTTTTTCTTATCTTCTTAACAAGATTCTTTCAGAATATTTGATATCAATTCGTTATTTGATATCGTTCTGTGTCTCTTCATGTAGAGTAAGCTGCCGAATATATTGCGAGGAACGGTTGAAAAATCTCGACAAGTCCCACGTTTCCTGCGTATCCACGAAGCTGTTCCGAATCCTCTTGATTCCTTCGAAGATCTCCAGCGCACGACGTTTTAGTAGGAATAAGACCGGACCAAGAGACAGAACTCACGTACTTTACACACCACCGTTTGTTATTTTTCTGCAGTATCGTCAGTGGACTCAGGAATTGGATGCCGGACAAGTCCCCGAAGGACTGCAGGCGATGCTGGAGGAACTCGGTTCGCTGAAGCGGGAACAACCCAACAGCAACTAAGTGTGACCAAGGAGCCGAGGAATAAGAAAGTCACGTGGATCGAGCCTTGTTCATCTTGTTCCTCCGATCGAAACCCCCCCCCCCCCTCCGTAGTTGAGCTTTCTTTTCGTCTTTTATCTCTCTTCCTTTTCATAGTTCTTTGCGAGACAATAGGGAATAATTGGTTGGTAAATTTGAAATTTAATTTTTCACGTTTTTGTGCTTTTATATCGCGACCTCCCGCGAAAAAGGATCTTTTGAATCTTTTTAAGATTTGTTTCTTTTTTTAGGAATACGTTTCTTATGTGATTAGCGAAATTTTTCCCATTTTTCTTCTCGATCCTTCCTCAAACGGCAGGATCGTTGTCCCAATTATCTTGTTACCTCATGCGTTACTTTTTTGTACGTACGTTTTGTATGTTGCGACTCGTTACGTTAACACATATTTTTTATTCTTGTTGATTAAGGACATCGGTCGATTATCTACGGCCTCACGCTTGGAATGTACCTCCCTCGCATAATTGTTGCGATGTAAGAAAGTAATTAGATATATCACTGTTACATCTCGAAGAGAAAAACGGTCGTTGTATGTCAAAGTCTATGTTCAGTATTGTCTGTTTGAAGAACGTCGTTGCGGGATCTCCTCATTGACCGTTTACCGATTCGTTTGAAACTTTACCGATACGCGGTATTGTACCGCAAACAAATCATCATTTTGTACAAATTAGCGCCAACGTTAATTGCAAACGTTAATTTATATATGTGTACGGAAGAGTCTGATAGTCAAATAAAACCAATATTTTTCGATGAAAGATAAGCTTGTTGATGTCCACCGTCCTCCGAAATTTTTTGCTTGAAAAATTCTGAATGAATGCTTCTTTGGAATTCTATTCGTTTAAACGTGTCATTTGTACATGAGAAATCAAATAGCAAATTTGCGAAATGCGAAATTTTTTTTTCGCTCACATGCACAAGAAATGCATATCCGCCGGCGTTGTTTCGAAATCACATTTTGGACATTGCGATTTCGCATCGTGGTTTTGTGCAACAGGAATTTGCATTTTGACGTCGGGATATGCCGGTCCATGAAATCTCCGCTCTCGTTTACGTAGATTGCGATTCGTCCATAGACGATATCATCTCTCTTGCCGTTCGTTGGACGGTCCGTTAAAAAGAAGGAAAAATTGATGAATCCGATATCGCCGTTATCGCGATTGCATTCGGAAATTTGAAACGAATTTTGTTACGCAATTTAGCTCGAAGCTTTTAATCAACTCAAGCAGTAACGAGCGAGCTTAATATCGCCGTGTAGTAATAATTGCGACGATAACGTTCATAACGATGTGTTGCATTCGATTGAACTGAATGTCACGAATAAGAATTTAATTCCTGTTCCCGGGCTACTGATTTAATGACATTTTCTATTTTTCAACAGTCCCCCTAAACGGATTATTTTTTTTTTTTTTCGCTCACTTGGTAGCTTATAGAAAGTAAGTGTGTCAGATCGATTTGTTCAGACATTTAGCTTCGTGTCGCTGGAAATGTTCCGATTGATTTTTATGCTAAATTTTTTATTTTTTGAAAGCTTGTTATTGATATAAGCGAATTGACAGGTAATGCGATATATACGAATTAAATTCGTATATGGGGATTTGGATAAAATTTCTGCCAAATATCACGTCGCCCATAAATCACTGTCTCACCACAATGCACACGGAATCAGACTTTACTTTCTTATTAGAAAAGGAATATCAGTTTTACCATGTTTCTCACATGCGAACGTAGGAAAATCTTGGGGGTATATAAAACGGAAGTGAAAGAAAAGAGAAGAAAATTCATCGTTTTTCTCTACTATGGTCGCAATAAATCAGCGTGTTAGGCGGAGTGTAAAGTTGAAATATTGCCCCGTAAATATCAAATTGTACTAAAGTACCGAGCAAAGAACCGAGTGCTTCGCATTGTTATTAAGCTGGCTACATAGTAAGCACATAATGTACTTCCTGGCACGATGGCCTTAGTCGTGACAGTGTCCGGAGATGATATATTTTACACGTTGTGTACCTGACTACGAAATAACCAACTTCTGGATAAGCGATATTATATGAATCGATTCCGCTTGATAAATTATATCGCGTAATCGCTAACGGTAACTCGTTAAATTTTAGTAAAAGATATGAAAATAATAAAATATAAAGATTTTTTTAAATCGCCTCTCTTCACAGAGACTCGGTTAAAAACTGCGGCTGTTAAATAATTAGATACATTTGTATATTTTATTCACAACGTTCAACTTGTTAAGATAAAACGACGTAAATGCCTTTTTCGCGTCAGACGCCATAATTGCCTCGTATTTTCCGCGTTGCTTTCGACGGATCTTATTCACAGTTCATTCGCACCAATGTCGGCGCCCCCCTCTTCCCCCCCCCCGCGGAGGAGCATTACCGACATTTGCGTGGATCGTAAAAGACTGGTGATGCGTGTGCCCGCATCTGCACACGTGCACACACATCTCTCGTGTCGGCGAGTTAACGATACGCAATTCCGCGCGTCATAAACCGCGGACGTTCAATTTCGTTGCCGCGGAAAACGCGTGTTCCTGCTGGATGGGCGGTCGGATGGACGGACGGATGAACAGACGGACGGACGATTGTGTCAGGTGCAGAGTTCATAAAGTGTGTAACGTTGCGGCGTGAAAAAATAGCGGCCACGTTTGGGAACGCGGAAATAAGGAGAAAAAAATATGGCTATCTCCAGCGGAGCGAGGAAATAGTTGTGGCTCCTCCGCTTGGAAATTTATTCCGATAGCGCGAAAATATTTTCGGACAGTATCTTTCACTCGATAATCCGTTGCACTTTGTGTTTGCAGCGTATTTCAGACGATTCGCTCTTTCAATTTTGATTCTCCTCTAAAAAGCTTTTATAAAAAAAAAATTGTATTTTTCAGATTACGATCGGGGAAAAAAATTCGTGGACCCGAGCAGCAGAATTGTTAATTGATACTTTTCTTCAAAAATTCCTTCGTTAATTTTAAATAAGATTTATATTCTAACGAAATTTTTATTGAAACCTAGTGATGAAAATATATAATTCTAAGCATTTGTGGTAAATAATAAATTTATTTGACGTTTTCACCGAGAAGAAAGATCGATTCAAAATTCATGATAAATTTCTGAAAGAAGGAAACAATGATGTCAATTCATCAATCTATCGATACGTTTGTCTTATTAGAGAGATCACGGTGGACGTATAGTCGATAAAATAGCAAAGAGAAGAATAAGTAAATGGAAGCTATTTTCCGAGATGAACGACGCGCAAAGCCTGAGAACGTGAGCTGAGAAACGAGGAGAAACTCCATCTTCGCGTCTCTCTTTTTCCTTTTTTTCTTATTTGATCAAAGAAATGTGCCTTCGAAGGGATGATACGGACGGATATTACGTCGCTGAGGTTATTATAAACAATATTACGCGTAACCAGATTAATGATATTCAATTTAAGTTCTTATAATTTTTCATTCTTTTACGAAGATATTACGAACATTATGGTAGGATTTGAATTATTTATGAGAAATTTCGAATTTTCATGTTGGATAATGAAGATTATTTTCATTTTAATTCGAAAAATACATACAATCCATTAAAATACATATAATCCATTTCTACAGTAATTTGTTCGAGAAATATGATTATATATTTAAATAATATCTTTACATACGATTGATTAATACAATAATAATTGCACAGATAATTTATATCCTGTGAGAAAATTTGATCTGAAAATTTTAGATATTTCTCGATGTCGAAGGGCTCGAGATGTGTACCGCACGCATTTATCTTCGTATAACTGTGAAAAATTGATGCACGTATATATCAAAGTGTCAATCGTGTCGCAGAAGATATATCTCTAGACTGAATTTATTTTATCCAAATGTTGCCGAAGATAAACGTTTTTTTTAGCGCTAAATAAACGGGACTGTTTGTGTGTTGCTGCGCCTGCAAACGTTTCCCGTAGTGCGTTATATCCTGCTCAAAGAATGCAAATATCGCACATAAATACAACGCGCGTGATTATTTATGAAATATACGCCGGCATAAATTATGTATGAAATTATATAGGCTTACGGAAAACTTCTCTTTCTCTTTTATGCATGAAGTTTTATGACGATGGATTTTTCTGAGTTATCGAGGAAATAAAGCAACGATGTATACCAATATACGATGCGATCACACGTGATGCGTCTTCATCTTTTGAATGGCAAAGACCGCTTTTGAATAATTAAACAGTTTGTATACGGTATATTTTATAAAACTCAACAGTGAATTTCACAAGCTTGTCTTTTTTTTTCAAATTTCGAGTTGACTTTTAAAACACGGACACTTAATTTAAAATATAATTACATTTATCTATCATATGGAAATCCGTCACGGAACTCTGAAACTAAATTAGCCGAAGAATTATTCATAAAGGATCCTTTCACGAAATAATGGCACTTTTTCCTTTTAGTATGATTTAGCATAGGTATGATATTGCAGGTTTGTTTTCTGTACCTACACTGGACCATATTAAAATTTCTTTTCTCGTTTTCACGAAACTTTAAACATATATCTATTTCATTTTGAGCACAGGTGTATATACCTTAGTATATAGTTTAGCTACAGAAAATAGATCTTGTGTCTGCAAAAAGTTCCCGACCAGCAGGAACGAGTTGAATTATCTGACACTGATCTCTCGTCTCTCTAATTCTTAAAGGATGAAGTGCGTGTTTTCTTTCACAAGATGATTACGAACATTACGATAGACCAAACGAGATAAAGTGGAGGACACTCGTGCCGATTCAATCACCGCGTTGCGATATAATATTCACGAGGTCGGTTTCAGGCGAACTGGTCTCTACATCTTATTGTTCCGCGATAACCAACGACGGTTATGTACATTGCGGGACGAAGGTTCTCGGATCGAGCAATCAAAGTTTACGATTGACCGAATCGTAAACCTGCCTCCACCGCGACGAGATACGATTCTTGATCGTATAAGCTGAATTCCGAGCCAGTGTTGGCCAAATTCCGTACAAATGCGGCATTAATTCCACCATCGCGCTCCGCGGGACGAGCCAGGTTCGAGGTGGTATCTCACGATGCCACCTCGAGGCACTGCAGAGATTCGGGATTCATATTTGTATCGAAGTCCGAAATTTCCAAGAGATATATATATATATATATATACATCCACCTTGATCCTTACGAAGAGGGAAATTGGCTGATCTTAGTTCACCTTAGGCGCTCTTCGTGCGCTTAACTGTTTCGAACACAGCGCGTTGGTTAACCGATGAAACTATTGTGCAACATATCTATAATGTCTTTAATAATAAGTTTGTTTAATGAAGTAGAATAATGTACATGAAAAGTATTTGTTTTTCAAGTTTTTAGGTAAAAGCATTTTGAATGATGCATCTGATACGAAGCAGAATTATTTCAATAGCTTGTCTCGTTTATCAGAATAATTATTTCGTTTTTATTTGGATTATTTATGTTTATGATATAATTATTTATTATTAGTATTATTATTATTATTATTATTATTACTATTATTATGAAAAATTATTTGTATATTATTGAATAATAGAGAAACTGAAATTTACTTTATCCAACTTATTATATGCTATGCATAATGCTTGGATGACAAATAATTGATATAATTTTTTTTAGTTAAAAGTAAATAAGTTAAAACAGCGCTTATTAAATCACTCCATTACGCCGCATATAGAATAAATCTTTAATGGGAGTGTGCTTACCGCAAGCTTATTTTTGCTAGATACAATAGCCTGGGCGTGCAAGTAAAATAATGCATCGCGTGTTTTCTTTCCTCCTCTTCTTTCCCGCGTCTCGCTCACTCTGTACACACACACACACACACACACACACACACACACACACACACACACACACGAGGGGATGCGGTTAGCGAATTTCCTAACTTCAAGACCTCTTTTTACTCCGCGCCTTGCGCTCACTTTGCGGAGCACTCAGGAATATCGTTCAACTTTTTGCAAATCCAACAAAATTCCGTCCGGGAAACGCGAGCAGGCCGGATGAGTAACGCCGTCAGGCGTTCTTAAAACGGCCGCGAGGTATAACTCGACGGTTTCATATTATACGTTCCTGGCCCCCGTATTAAGGGATGAAATTTATAGGTCGAGTTTCCACAGTAAACTTAGCCGATATCTCGCCGGGAGGCGAAACAAAGAGTGAGCTTTCTCGGAGGCACCCGCCACCTCCAGAAACCCTCTCGGTGGTAGCCTTCCTCGTTTCCGCCCCCTTTCGCAGTGCCCTTTTACTCGCGGCTAGTTTTCTTCTCATTTTTATTTTTCCCTCCTTCCCCTCTCTCTCCCCCGCACTCCCCGTTCGTGTCTTTGCCAGGGGAAAGTGTCAGCCGAACGACGACAAGAAAAACCTGGTGGAAGCTGCTGCTAAGGTGATGGAAGCTGCGAGGTTGAAACGACGAAGGAATGGGTGACGAGAGGTTGAGACAGGGGTGAATCGTAGCGAGGTGCAAGGTAGATGGTTGCGAAAGCAGAGAAAAAGTAGTCGTTTCCGAGACGCGGTCGTGTGAGGTGCACCAAGAAACTGGTCGTCCATTCAGCCCCGCAGTCCGACGGTTGGAAAGAAGCTTAAATGGTTTTTTTCACGGCCGAATCCGGGTCTAAACGTGTCGAAACTTTTTAACGAGCTCGTTAGGGTTCCGGGAATGACCGGGAAATTAATTATCCTTGAAAAGCCGTCCGCTCATCTACGGACACACGACGTTCTCTCTTTCCAACTTTCTCTCCGTTTCCGCTCGATGATCGCGCATTAACACGTGAATTCGGTCGGTGATCGGCGCTGGTCCCAGTCGATCTTTTTTCGTTTCCTGCGGAAGAACATAAATTACTCCTTTTTATAATGTAGCGCGAAGCTGGCGTATCATTTCGTGGAGATTCATTAATTATTCAGAGTTTTAACTTCATTTTTGATAGTTCTATAGTTCTACATAAGTTAGACAAATAGTTCTTGGTCATTAATAAGGCAGGAAAATTGTTCCAAGCAAACTCAAACTGAACGCCAGATTCATGCAGCGTCTCGCTTGATTGAGTTTTCAAAGCAAAGAACGAATTAATATTAATATATGAGATTTATAGGGTCATCTTTTATTAAATATCATTTTTACCGAAAATTTAAGTATCATCTTTACACACATACACACACACATATACGCGTCATATTTCATGTTTAATTAATTGATTTCATTAATGTTTTAATCTGATTTATTTTGATATTCTTTTACTTTTAATTGGAATTTATCATTCTCTTAACATATAACTCGTCACACATTATCAGTAATCCAATTTGTAAAATGTTAATGGCTACTTACCGAGATGGGAGAGAAGGACCGAAATAAATGACTCGGTCGCTTTTGCAACGACGGCATCCGATTTGCCGTAGATTTATTTTAGATACCAGTAACTTTCGAAACCTTATAAGATATTAATTACGAAACTCGCGTTTCGTCGATCCCATTCCGCTTGCACGAGAATGATCATTAATTCGGCCGAAACGGGATTCCGCGCGAGGGATCGATCCGATTAACTCTCGATTGTATCGCATTACCTTTACGATAGAAATAAATAAAGTTCAATATTTCACATATTTTCATGGTACATATCTTTCGTAAAGCCTGATAATATTGCCTGATAAAAACATAATTAAATTTCTTTATTCCGGATGAAAACGTAACCTGCATACGTGCGTGTTTCCAACATTCTTTTTTTCCTCTATTTTTTTAAACGATTCGCGTTGAAATAGAATTTTGCCACGCAATAGAGAATTAACGACTATATCGTCGCGGCACAAGGGAAATCGATGCGTTCATTCGAGGCCCCGATGTAATCACCGAGCTCTTCGCTATGATAAAATTTTGGTGCAAAACAGTTTATGCGAGAGTAGAGCCGCGCGGAGATAAAAATACCTTGCGACTCGCCAGAATTCGTATTGCGACAGTGCGGTATAGAATCACGGTATAGAATTAAAAAAATTCCTCGTTCAATTCGCGATATGCGCCGACATATATATATGTACGTATCAACGTCAACGTTTCGATCGTGCAAAATCGTAGGAAAGGCTTACATTTTTATCGAGCAACGTGTCCGTCGACTTGGTCGGCGTTTCTCTAGAGGGTTGCTTCGCGATTAGCCCCATTCGTAGCTCCCCGATGATCACGACCGGTCAAGCCCACCATCTGGAATCGTGGTCGGCGAGGCTAAAAGGGTCGGGTTTTAAAAAAGAAAAAAAGAAAATACCGCGAGAGAGTTACAATCGAGACATGTAAATTTTTAGCTATCCATCGTGTGCGCTTTGTGTCTAGATTAAAAAGGATCGAGGACATTCGATGACCTGGTTCTCCGATCCAACATGGCCGGCTTGACGTGCTGGAGGAATAATATGTTTTTCGACTTCAGGTACCATATGTACAAGTTACCATTCACATACGCACAGACAATGCACACACGCGTGCACGCAAAACACGCGTCTCTTTCTCTCGTTCGCGATTTTACATCTTCACCTCGATCGTTCACTCGTACTCAAATAATCATCAGTATTTCATCGTAAGTAATCGGTCGTGATGTATACATAGCGTATATAATTATTGACTAGGACAGTTTTTTGGTTCCGGCTTCGACGAGGAAATCGCTGAGTACAAATTTTAACATCGATTATGCCCATGGCTAAATTGTTAAACATTTATACAAACGCGTTGGTCTTCGTATCGCAGTGATAAGGTGCGTGTTTCCGTCTCGTGCCTTGTCGTGCTAATTTCGACATTTTCGCCCTTTGCTTTTTAGCTGTTTTCCAACCGCATTAACAGCTCGACTAACAGCCAATTGACTCTTTTAGTCAACGAAGGCACGCGAAGCACGCTTTTCTCATTCAGCTCATATCGCATGACGTATCGAGTGTACGTATCAGTACCGCAACACTGTAATTGGATGCCACAGTGGTTTTCGATTATCTCGCAAAAGATCGTACTCCTTCATTCGATCGAATTTAATTCCAACCGCGCGGAGCGTTGTTTTTTTTTCTCGAATTAAACGGACAACGAGTTAAACGATGGAAACAAATGAGGTACAATGCAGAAATTCTAATTTGACATACCACTTAGGGCTTGTACGCTGGTGTTACCAGAGCGCACTTGACGTAATTCTGCACGTATTTATCATACATTGATTTTGCTTCTAGGGTAAGTAATTAAATTGTACAATGGCCCGCCAATAACTCGTTCGAGTAATCAATAGCGCTACAATAGCACTACTCGCGGTAATTTCAAATTAATGAGCCATCGCTTCATTAATACACGATGCATCATATTATTGCTCATTATCGATTAGGCTTGGATACGATTAATAAATATGGCACCTTTCAAATTTCGAGGCGATCGAATTAAAATTGAGTTTCTTGAAAATCAGTCCTCTAATCTACGCGGAAGCGGTTTGGCGATTAATTAATTTTGTTGCTATTTCTCTTTGAGGGATATTTCGCCGACGCTGTTGAAATATTTATTAACAAGAATTATTGTGACAAGTAGCG